TGTGTGTGTGTGTGTGTGTGTGTGTGTGTGTGTGTGTGTGTGTGTGTTGGGTCTAGGTCTGTAATGGCACACTGCTGGAATCCATACTGGGTCAACATTTATGTCACAACTGTGACGGACTATTTATTGGATTGTTAGCGGGCTGCTGAATGTTCTAGAAATGCAAATATGACTGTGTTAGGCCAGCAGCAAAAGAATTACATCATTCCAGGCGCAAAGTAATACATACATAGAAACAGCTGTTTAATGCGCTAATCGGAATGTAAACAAATAATCTAAATAAAAATGAAATTCTTACATACTGGCTCTACTTACATAGATAAATAGCAAGTTCAGAAAATAACAGGCATTCTTAACTGAAAGACATGTTCTGCCATTCACCCTCTTATATTTAACAAAGCAGGTCATATTTGGAGTAAATCAAAGAAAGTTAATTATAAAAAAGGGCCTCAGCCAAGGAGTCATTACCAAAAGAGGGTGAAAACCTTGAGCCATACGATGATAATCAGTCTCGAGGTGAACCTGAGATACTAGCTAAGATATGATGAGCGATGATGTGCTGCTTTCAGAGATAACATTAACTTGACGTGCCCCGCCCTCGTTTTCCTCTTTCTCTCTAGTTGAACATGAACAGTGCTCCAACCTTCATGCATTTCCCGGCTAAGGGAAAGCCCAAGAGGGCCGATACGTTTGACCTGCAAAGGATCGGCTTTGCTTCCGAGCAGCTGGCCAAGTGGATTGCAGACCGCACAGATGTTCAGGTACCACACACACATTCACACAGGCATCATTTGCAAGAAACGGGCACTCATTTGCCAAAACATGCACGGTTGGTACATACAACCCCAATATAGTTCATGTATGCATATTGTTTGGAGCTATTGTCGGATCTCAACATTTTTTCTCCAAAGAATAACAAGGTTGAACATGAACCATGGCCCGATGGCCACACAAGTTACTCTGTGGCTGCAGAGTATCCCCTGTAGGTGGCCCCCTGTGGCCACCAAGTGTTTATCAGTTCTTTCTTGGGAAAGAGACTCCATATCTGTCTGTTGGGCTGTGTGTAGGTGTATAATCAATATGTACTGTATGTATGTCTAGATGTATCTGGGCATGTATATTCATCAGTATCCATTATAGAGACGAAAAGTGACTTAATGTGTGTGCTGTCATGTTATTGTTATTGTTACAGCTTACTGACCAGTCCTCATACATACAGTGTTTTGCTTTATTACTTTTATTCACTGCTGTATTGCTAATTGTCTATATTTCTTCGGCTCAAATAATACAAAGAATTTGAAAAACCCATCCCCAGGGTTTCCACTAGTGTGCGTCAATCCTGGCAACTCGCCGGGCCTCAGTTGACTCCGACGCCGGGCCTAAGTATCAGGGATTTAAAAAAATATATATGTTTCTTTTAAACTAAAATGCTTTATACAAGTAGCAAACTTATTCAAGGAATAACTATATTGAATAATTAAGCTCTAAAAGGGAAATTCAACAAATTAAGAAAATTCCAGTGTTGTGTTTTCTTGTGCAATAGTGCATTCTGCATAAATATGTACACTGCTTATACAAATCAGTTATAATATTGATCCTTGACAGTTCCCCTGACTGTCAAGGATCAATATTTAAATAAATAAATAAATTAAAGTTAAAATAATACAAATAGATAAAGTCTGTTGCACCTCAAATGGACTGCATCAGATTCTGCTCGTAGGGGGTTAGAGACCCGCCTTTTAAGGTGGTCTTGACAGGGTTGGGTAGTCCATAACACCATGTGATGGACAGCTTTCATACAGCCCTTAAAGGTAACTCCACCAAGTTTAAACATCAAAGTCTGTTTACAGGCCTTGGGGAGTGCTGCTGCAATGCTAAATCTTTGGGAGTACTGTTTTTAAAAAAAACTCTCCAAATGGGCAAACCCATTAGTGCTTTTCTGTGTGTGTGTGTGTGTGTGTGTGTGTGTGTGTGTGTGTGTGTGTGTGTGTGTGTGTGTGTGTGTGTGTGTGTGTACCAAACAGGAAGGTCTGAAGGCATCCTTGGTCTTAGTGAGGGCAGATGCAATGTTGAGCATGTCATAGGAACTGTGTATCACAGGAGGGCGTTAGATGCTTAAGTTGCTGCCACCTGAGGGTATTTTTTCTACTTGTGTGCGACTTTTGGAGACACCCCGGCCACTGCCAGAGTCAGAGATGACGGGGAAACATTGGAGATGCATCTTTACGTGTCTCACGGCCTCATATGTTCTCATACACACATACTAAGTCTCAGGCTAAGGCTGCTGACTCGTACAGTATGTATGTGAAGTTTGTATGTGAAGTATGTATGTATGTGAAGTATGTATGTATGTATGTGAAGCAACACTTGGCAGCAGCAGATGGTACACACATTTTCATCGGTGACACAATCGGTGTTGGTGACACACATGTGTTCTGTCTATCGGACCATTTTACTCTTGCATCTGTTAATAGCAAACACAGCACGTTGTCAGTTTGGCTTCATGGCCTCACAGACAGACAGACAGACAGACAGACAGACAGAGCGAGTGAGAAACATACACAAGTAACAAAACAAAGGTTGTCATACAATTACCTGGATTATGGTTGTTTCAGTTACACTTATGCAGAAAGATTTCTGAGATGAAAATGTTTGACATTTATTTGTCAGTGTACTTTTACTGTCATTATTTTATAACTTCTTAAAATGTTCTTTCCTTTCATTTTAATTTTTTAGTTTTGGGTTTTGAAAACAATTGATATAAATATATACATATATGTATATATATACCCTAAAGAGCATGAAAACATGAATGAAGGATGTTTATTCAACAATCTCAGCTGCATTGATATAATCGTAATAATAAGTATAGATTTATACACTCTGACAGTGATATATACAGTGACTGAAGGAATGTAAAATTGATTTGCTCCTCATCTCTCTCCGTCCCTCCAGATCCGTGTCTTCCGTCCTCCTAATTATTCAGGCACGATCGCTTTGGCTCTGCTGGTGTCACTGGTTGGAGGTCTGTTGTATCTGAGGAGGAACAACTTGGAATTCATATACAACAAGACTGGATGGGCTATGGCTGCACTGGTATGATGCACAAATACACACACACACACACACGCACAAACACAATGGGTTTCAGGTGGGAACCTTTTAATCCCACTGTGAGAAGTTAAATACTGTATATGCTCTGCTAAAAATATCCACCTTTATAAGACAGGGACATACTGTAAGTTTAGTGAAACCAATTGAGTGGAGTAATCTCACCTGATTGCACTTATTGTTTTCTTATTAGTTTAAACTTATTGCATTCGTTTGTTTCTGCACTGTACACTGCACCGCTCTGGTTTATGCTCTTAGATGCTTGTTTGAAGAGAGGAGATGCACTTATGACTTCTGGTGACGAGTAGTTCTCTTGAATACCTATGTTGAATACACTTATTGTAAGTCGCTTTGGATAAAAGCGTCTGCTAAATGACTGTAATGTAATATCATTTTCTGCCTGTTCTAACAACACTTACATTTTCATGTCCCAGTCATACGTTGAGAAGAATGAATTTTACAAATTCAGTTAAAAATCAGGATGATGTTACAAGCTTTTCCACGCTTAATTCTCACACTCTCCTGTCTGTCTTTGTTGTCTCTTTTTCTTTCCTTCTCTCTCTCTCTCTCTCTCTCTCTCTCTCTCTCTCTCTCTCTCTCT